GTTGGATAGCTGGGCTTGGCTAGCGCCGTGAGCCGCTTTCCTCCCCCCTCCCGCTCTCCTTTAGTGCTCCCTGAACGGCAGCTGGAAGAATGACCTCAACTCCACCATGGAGAGCAAAAGCGTCAGGAACACGGGGGTGTTGAGCGGTGTGTACAAAACGGCAGTCTCGGGCTCCGGCAAGCCCGTCCCTCCATCCCCGTTGCACGGCATCCAGCATCAGGGGCTCCAGCCCACCTTTGGCTTCACCGTGAGCTGGATACTCACTGGTAGAGCCACTCACTATTTGGTGTGGAAGCAAATAGAACGGGAGGGGGGAATCTAGCGGATCTCCCCTTCCTTAGATCTGCCTCTCGCAGATTCTTTCACTGAATGTCCTCTCTCCTCCCCCCCCCATCAGATGGAGATGCCCAAATATTTTGGAGCCTATAAAACATTCCCAATCTCAAGATAGCATCGGTGAGCGTGGGGGGGGTGTCTTTATGCGAACTATATCCCCCCTCCAATTGATACAACAACTTTGATCTGACAGAATCCACCGCAGTCTTTGTGGGCCAGTGTCTGGTGGATAACAGCGGAAAAGATTACTTGAAGACAACCTGGCTGTTGCGTGAGAAGGTTGGATCCGCGGCAAAGGATTGGGGGGCGACCCGGTAAGGAAATGCAGGGTCTGGGTTGCAATGCCTGGCTGGGGACCTATCTGGCCCTGGCCGCGCCCCCCCTCCCCCGAGAACCAGCAGCATCCATTTCCTTTGCCCCCCATTTTCTTCTCAAGTGAGTGGGTGGAAAAAGGGAATGGGGTGGGAGGTGGGATGCTAATTCTGGGGGGGGGGACACCAATCATGCCACCATGAATTTTGACATTTCCCTCTCTCCTGTTTAATCATTGTAGCATTGCCAAGGACACCTTCTACCGCACCTAGTGAAGGTGAAGAGAGCAAGGCTTCCCCCCTGGGGAATTCCACCCACCCGTGGGGAATCCAGATTCGACCCAATCCCTCTCTCTGGGAGCTCTACGTCCAG